ATTTTGGAGCTAAGCATTTCTCAATAGTATTGTTGAAATCTTTTCTGTTCCTGCGGTAAGGGTGATCCTTAGGTAGGAACCTACGGTGTCCTATATAAACTATCTTGGAGTTATTTGGCAGATTTACCGCATCGGTGTCATCCAAGCACTCGACACATCTAGTATAGCCTTTTGTCTTCTCTCCGAACAACGAACCTCGACCTGGTAGGTCGGTGATTGTAGCGATAAGCACTCCCTTGATCGTGACATGTTCCTTTTTGTACTCGTCCCAAACATCCGACACACCACCCTTTTCAAACATCTCCACTAGTTCATCGATCACTGGTTCTAGAAACACATCGATGTCATTCCCAAGTTGTCTTGACCCTTGGATCAGTAGTGGCATCTGGATGTACGACTGCTTGATACAGACCCAAGGTGGAAGGTTATATATACAGAGCATCACTGGCCAGGTGCTATGATTGCTTCTATGCTCTTCGCCATGCCAGCACAACAGCTTGGCTGACTTTGCACATGTAAACAGCCTATGCACTCGGGGAGCTATAGGGAAATACCAAACGACCTTTACGGGACCTCCTCTGGTCTTGGTACCCTCATCTGACGGCCCTTCCTTGTACCGTGGAGCTTCACACTTGGGCCACTTGTCCAAGTCTGTGTATTTTTCTCCATGGTACAATATACAATCATTGGAACACGCATGGGATTTTTCAACCTCGAGGCCAATGGGGCAGATCATTTGCTTGGCCAAGTATGTCTTTTCTGGCAACTCATTTTTTTCTGGGAGCATTTTCCTTATTATACCTAACAACTGATCGAAGCCTTTATCGCTCAATCTGTTTGTCGATTTGAACTCTAACAGCATGATGTCGGCTTCTAGTTTGCTCATTGGACAATTCCTATACAATGGTGTTTTGTCATCTTGTCTCATTTTCTCTAGCTTTCTCAGTTGTCTTTCACTAAGTCATCCGGTCTCTACATTACATAGCAGCTGAGAAATGCCATCGTTATCCTCGGTGTCGTCAGCTAGCGTGTTCCTAAACACACTATTAACTATGGCCATAGGTTCCATGTTGACACCGGGTTACTCGTCAGCATCATGGATGGCTACGTCAGGCATGTCCACATCATCATTGTTTTCCTACAGAACATTCACACCAACCTCACCATGCATAGTCCATATCGTATAGTTTGACATGAACCCCCCGGTAATCAAGTGCGATCGTATAGACTCTTGACGAAAGTTCATTTGATTCTTGCAATCTTTGCATGGGCAGAAGACAGGGTTCCCATTCCCAGCATGGGCTTTGGCATCGGTGATAAACTGGCTGACGCCATGCATGTATCGCTTGTCCGTTCGGGACAGATGCATCCACTCTCGATCCATCTCTGCACAAAAAAATACTGAGACAGCAATTACAAAGAATTAATAAGAAATTGAGCTTCTTGAACAACAATTGTAGCTCGAAAGTACCATTTTTGGAAAACATTAATGTACACTAATTATTAGAAAATTGAAATTGGTAGCCCTGGCCCTGTAAATTGAAAATCGTAGTAAAAAACAATTATTGTACAATGATGAAGAACATCTGTTCTACTCTACTTCTAAGAACTAATTATAGCATCACATACTAACAATGATGATCTTGACTACCATGGAATAATTAGCTTGGAATTTAAATGTGTTCATAGACTCTGTCCCGTGTCGGTGCCTCCCCAGTCACCTCCACCTGAAGCCACGACTCCGCCCAACTTCGGAAGGGCAAACAAAGGGCACGGAGGGGTGGTCCCCCACCAGGAGGCACGAGAGGTGCGGCATTGAAACTCCACAAGCGGAGCAGGGTGATGGGTTATCAATAATTCATATCGTGGCCTTGATGAGACATTAGGTTGACTGGTCCCATTCTTTCGATGTCATTTCTCGAATCATTGGAAGAAGAAGGGGCCTCAATGACTGCCTCTTACCCTGAAGAGCGAGAACCTAATCCACCCTCACCACCAATTCGGAAGGCATCACCTTACCGAGAAGCAAGAAGCCTCGAAACCTAAAGGGCTAGAACCCAACCCACTATATATCGCCAACCAAGAATCCACCCTCCCCAAGCGATAAAAAAGTGGCTCAACAACACGAAGGCCTAGAAGCCAAATGGTTACGACACTATCGGTGGACATGAAGAAGTAGATGTTCGAATTATCAAAGAATAAAAAGACAACAACTAGTAGCCGACAACGTGTAAACAAGTCCGGCTCCTTGAAGACCACAAGAAGGCCAACAAAAGAAGATTACGAAGATGTCCCTGAACATTATCTGCTTGGCTAGGCCTCTATCCCGTGGCATGAACTCCACAAGGTTCTGCCTTTAATGAAGAGGTTACACGACCAGTACATGAGAGCATCTTCGGTTGGTATTGATGCGATCATCGCAAGTGTATCAAAAATTATTTTTTTAGTGGCCCAAGCATGGTTATCATCAGAGGTGGAACCAGGGCGCTAGCAGGGGTTGTGGCCCCCCAATGCAGGAGAATTTGTTTTAATACCCTTGTAAAATTTCCAATTTGTAGCACATCAAGGCATAAATTCACTCACTTTTTATCACAATATTATGATTTTTTGTTATGAATACTAAGTACATGTGTAGAAACATTTTAAAAAATTACTGAGATGTACACTTATGTATATGTTTATCATACTTAGAGATGTCATCACATATGTCCGGCCCCCCTTAATCAAAATCGCTGGTTCCACCTCTGGTTATCATTGACTTTGAGGACATTCACTTGATGTTCCACCTCAAGACTCAATGCCCAATTCTTGACGATGTGGTGCCTGTAAGTGTCACTCGTACAATTTTGTGTTATTAATATATGGTTAGGTCATGGAGTCTCTATCATGCGCGTGTGCTACGCAGAATGCAACATGAAGATTAGGAGATGAGGTTTGATGACGGCCTGTATGCTCAGTAGAAGAAAAAGGATTGGGTATCTCAACCTGATGAGGATAAGCGAGAACAAGCACACTTTGAGGATTGCATTGGACTAGGTCACTCTCTTTAGGGCAAGACCAGTGTGCAAATTGTGAAGATTAAAGATGACAAACAAAAATACCTCGGCCTTCACGTGGTGACCTACATATGAAACACACCGCTCGAATTTCAAGACATACAATGTGCAATGGCCCCCTACAAGTTTGTGTATGTCTACCTTTGCCTAGTCTTCATTCATAAGCTCGAAATAACAGAATTATGGTGTTAACACATGCATTGACCACTGCATTTGTGTAATGGTTTTGGTCTGAGGATGGAACGATGCTGGTCCTTGACCTAGCCGATTACCTGACAAACAACTATGAAAAATTCTTGGCACTTATACAAGAATAGTTGAGGTATGCATGCACATACATGAATATTTCTGTATTTGCGATGATAGTTTGGAAATGACTTTGGTAGATTATTCTAGCTCGTCAGTGCATACATGTGGTACAAGTTCATGGGTGGACAATACAATTTAAATGAAAAAGAAACCGACGGTTGTAAATACCAATTGGCTTGTAAATTTTAAATAAATGCCCTACATTTGTAATATATATGTATGTAGCAACTAATTACCCCTTGTTTCGTCATATAGTGCCACAAGCAATCACCAGGAACGGTCCTCTGAGGGTACTACGTGTGCGTGCATCTTAGGGGAAACAGGTGATACACCATGAACTCGAGCGAAGTCAGTAATAGTGATATATCAAGTTTTTTTTATTTATGTTGCAGATGCATTGATGACTTATAAATATATTATGACTATAATCTTTCTTTGAAGGTTTATTATTGTGAACCAACTCACGGTCTCAAAGATAAAGACATCAGAAACATATGTACTGACATGTGCCGGTTCATCATGTGTGAGATTATTCACTATGATGGAAATATTTTGATGATACCTCTGATTTAGCAAAGCCAGAGTACTGAGAACTTGTTGATTTTGCTAGGATGGAACTGAAGAAAAAGATAAGTGTTGGTGACTTCATGCAACATATGAGTTAAAAACTTTGACGTGTGTGTCTATATATATATATAGGTAAGGCAAATTTGTGGCTATCCCATAGAATAACTTATTTTATGGCTAGCTCAGTTTATGATAATATTTGTACTGATTTACGATACATGTGTTACTATAACTAATTAGGATATTTACCATAATGTTGTAATAGACCACTTAGGACTTTAGGAGAAGTTGCAGTAATCTTGTAAATTAGTACAGTCGGTATAGTAACTCAAACCATAGAAATATAATTGTTAGGACTTAATGCAACATTTGAGTTAAAAACTTTGATGTGTGTGTGTCTATATATATATAGGATAAGGCTAATTTGTGGCTAGTTATAGAATAACTTATTCTATGACAAGCTTAGTTTACCATAATATTTGTACTAATTTATGATACATGTGTTGCTATAACTCATGATGATATTGACCGTAATCTTATAGTAGATCATTTAGGAGAAGTTACAGTAATATCGTAAATTAGTACAGTCGGTATCATAACTTAAAGTGGTCATAGAATAAGTTAATCTATCTATAGCCAGCTAGAAAACAATATATCGTGCTACTACGTGTCTTGCACAGTAGCGCGATATATACTTAATGTGTAGAAACTGTGCAAGACATGTAGTAGCGTGGAATATACTTAATAATAGTAGGAGTAATATAAGGAGAACATTTAATTAATATGGTTCCAATATATATATATTTGGTATTTTGAGCACACTTACAACAACACGAACACGACACACATTACATCATTTGTCTTATATAATATATATAGTAGGTTGTGGGCCAACTCATCTTACTTGCCATTGTATAGCGTAACATGTGAATTAGTCTCCGCATACACGCAACGCATATATGCACACACAGACGGGAGTAGGTTATTCGTATACGTAGTACGTAGTGTACACATATATAGTAGGAGTAAATAGCTAGGTGCGCGTATGCGCACATTTGTGCCGTGCGTTCATGCCAGCGTGCTGAATTCTGTGTGCGCGTTAACGTTGGTGTTGGGCACGACAATGGGGCCAATGGTGATGCTGGTAGTGGGATAGCAATAGCAGAATGTGGTGCTGGTGCCTGGGGCAACCGGGTTAAGGACGAGTATCAACGAGATGCCGCGTAAAAGGTAAGTGCCCATGGCTTGAAAGAACGTAGTGGAGTTTGTGAATCCGGAAGGACACGGGTTTTGGGATGATGGCGGTGGAGCCGGTGACTGCGCCCGCACTGAAGCCGCCGTCAACACGAGTGCCACGGCTAGGAACAGAAGCGCAGGGAATACAACGGACTTGTTGTTGGACGCCATCGCTAGTAGCTAAGCTGTGGATGATGGATATATGTGTGTGTGTTTTCTTCTCCACTATGTGTGTTTGTGATTGAAGGTGTATCGGCCATAACTAGTATTTATAGGCCATCCATCGGCAGGCATGCGATCGCTCGGCGCAAGGCGTACGTAGCCCTAGCGCATGCAGGTCATCAGTCTACAGGATGCAAGTGTCTTTGGGGCTAGTACGTGGTGCTCAGTCCGTGCTTGTCCGGCTGGCGGCGGCACACCAACGAAGAAGAAACAACGTACCCTCCTGGACATTCAAGGTCGTCCCATGCTAGCTATCTTGTTCCATACTTCCAATCTAGGGCTTCTCCGTCGGCTCACACAAACAAAAAGAGACACGATGCTTATCCTAGGAGTAGAAGCACTTAGAGACTTGAAAATTGCAACAAGTACGTAAGACTAATGCGCCTATGTATACTCCTACTAGCTATAGATTACAAGACCTACGACAGCTATAAGATCCTAGAAACCAACAAACAAGAAGAATACGCTATGGGATATACAGGGTGATGTAGGTAGCATATATAATTAATGATATAAGCCTGTAAGGACTTTATTTTACACTGCAGTACATCACCGCTGGATCTAAACCTTGCATCACTACCGAAATTGTGTCTGACACAGGGTATTCGGCAGTAATGGAGGTGGCCCTATCACTGGCGATTTACGACCAGGTAGTGTAGCACTGCCGGGTGAATCAACCAACCTGCAGTGAAATCATCATGAGTATCACCGCCACCGGTTTGACGCATAACCCTGTCACGTTAAAGCCTGACGCCATCATTGTGGTTTGAACCGGCAGTGATAGGTGCCTTCACTACTGGCGAGTGAATAACTTCCTCAAAAAAATTTCTAGATCTTAAACTTACAAACCAACTAGTACTGCTGACCTCCTGCACCGTGCGCACGACGACCTCCTGTCATGGCGGGGCAGCCACAGTAGCGCCGCTACTGTTGCCCATCTCCAAGCCGTCCATCATCGCCAACGGTTAGTCCAGCAACGGCGCTTGTATGACTCTGATATCACTTGTTGGCCCCGGGATCTCCCGCATGGGTGAGCCGATAGCTCACCGACGTTGCCGACCACACACTATGGCTAGATGTAGAAGATGGGAGGGATAACAGAGCACACACACAGCACAGGCACCAACGTTGGCCGGAGTTCTGCCGAGGAGATGACAAAACTGAATTCGCTCACTTTACTGAGTTACAGTGGGAAGCTATATATACAACTCTACCCATCTAATCCTAGTACACAGACATGTCAGACTGTCATGCTACTACAATGACCAGATGTGATAGCAGGGCTGACTTTGGTGCATGCCCCTGCTATGGCTACAGTGTGGCAGGGGAGCCTTTCGGCGCCTGCCCCTGCCGCAGCTACAGTGCAGCAGCAGGGAGCCCTTTCGGCGCTTGCCCCTGCCGCGCGTTGAGACTGGGAGAGGAGCATATTACTTTACACCACTAGTGTTCCAATACTCACTTATATATAAATATAGACAATGTTATGTTCAATTGTCAAAACAATGAATTTTAGAGCGTGATAGAAGAATATATCAATAATATGGTATTGTTTTCCCTCTAGATTTTTAGAAATTTGACAGTGGGTTAAAAAGATCCATGGACCCCAGCTCCACATTCACAGATCTAGCATGTCACACGGATCAAGAAAATGCAGCCAGTGGCAGCACAAAAATGAACATCTAAATTGGAGAAAGCATCAGAAAGTAATATTAAGCTAGGCTCCAATTCAAGCTGATCTGATGACAACTGGATAACATTGAATCGCAAAATGCTACTACTAAATCAAGTATCTCCGAACATCTATCCTGAAATTACTTCCTGGATGACACGTGCACTAGCATCTCGAAACAAACAAACTAGTTCAGTGTTGCATGTTCAAATCATGCAGATAGTTGGTTGTACAACACAGTTGATTTTTTTTTAGAACAAAGGCATTCATCCAGCTTTATTGAAAGCGTAACGAACACCAACGATCCAGGAACTGGGGTTATCAGTTTTACAGTTTACCACCAAAAGAAACTACGGGAGTTTTAACAACCATCGACTCTCCACTTACCACTAGCTTAACCAAACAGATAATAGCTAAAAACTAGTAAACAACTCTACTAAGCCAAAGCTAAAAGCATTCAACTACATCGAAGAAGATAGCGCAGGTAACTTTGAATCAGTAAGCGTTCGCCGCCATCATATTTATCATCTCGTCAGCCATGGGACTCAGCTTGGCTTTCACCAGAGGGCGCCAGGTCTTGATTAACATCAGAGTCTTGCGTATGATCGCCGTCGGGGATGACATCACCTTGTTGAACACCACGTCATTTCGGGTCTTCCAAATGGTCCATAATGCACCTTTTAAGGATTCAGCCTTTTTAGCCATTGTCTTCGAGAGAACAGTTGTGCCATCATCTTGTATCCTAGAGCTTTGTCTGTTGACTTGCAGCTTGTTGATCTGCCTGGCTTCATTTGTGATTGTCATCTTTGCTGCCTCAATGCTTGGCTTAAGCACAGCCTCTTCTTCACCAATGATAGCTTTCTGTGTCTGGATATTAGCATTCGACAGTTCCTGACAGGTACCTTCACCCTTCTTCCCAGCTTCCTTGGTCTTCAGGATATCAGTACTGTCAGCATTTTGGCTTCTGGAACCCTGAGTATCGAGTGTGCTCATACCGGTGAGGATCACTTCTTTCTCAGTTAACAACTCTACAGCATTGGGTAACTTATGTGAGACCTCTACTTCAGTGTTGATAACCATCTGATCAGAGATAGGAATGGCTGGTTTGTCCACACAATGAACATATGCAGATTCCATACCCTTCTGTTGTACTATACTGACGAATTCATCATTCTCAGCCTGTGTCACTAGAAATAGGATCCTGGGTTACATCTTCTGTCAGAGTAAAACCCAGTTCAGACAAATCATCAACCAGAATCCTTTCCTTTTCCTGAGAATTCACCACCTTTCCATTTGTCTTATGCATCTCTAAAGCCAACTCCTGAATTTCCTGAATCAAATCAGGCAGCAACCTCTGATGAATTCCTATCTCTGATCCTGGTAAGAATGATGAATTAGATGAGCCCATCAAGCCAACACAGTTGATTTTACCAGAGGATCCCACACCATTCACCTGACCTCGACGCCGCGGGCGTTGGCAGCGCCTGTCCTCCGCAACTTGCCGGGGCCGTCGGAGAGGCCACGCCGCACACCGTCCAGCGACACCCCAGCCACCTTCACCCCGCGCCGGCGCTTCTCACCGGTCATCTCCGATCCCCTGCAGCGGCGACTCTGCCTCGTGCCGGTGCCTCCCCAGTCACCTCCACCTGAAGCCACGACTCCACCCGACTCCGGAAGGGCAAACAAAGGGCACGGAGGGGTGGTCCCCCACTGGTATTGATGCGATCATCGCAAGTGTATCAGAAATTATTTTTCTTAGTAGCCCAAGCAAGGTTATCATTAGAGGCGGAACCAGTGGGCTAGCAGGGGTTGTGTCCCCCCCAATGCAGGAGAATTTGTTTTAATACCCTTGTAAAATTTCCAATTTGTAGCACATCAAGGCATAAATTCACTCACTTTTTATCACAATATTATGATTTTTTGTTACGAATACTAAGCACATGTGTAGAAACATTTAAAAAAGTACTGAGATGTACACATATGTATATGTTTATCATACTTAGAGATGTCATCATATATGTCCGCCCCCCCTTAATCAAAATCGCTGGTTCCACCTCTGGTTATCATTGACTTTGAGGACATTCACTTGATGTTCCGCCTCAAGACTCAATGTCCAATTCTTGACGATGTGGTGCCTGTAAGTGTCACTCGTACAATTATGTGTTATTAATATATGGTTAGGTCATGGAGTGCGCGTGTGCTACGCAGAATGCAACATGAAGATTAGGAGATGAGGTTTGATGACGGCCTGTATGCTCAACAGAAGAAAAAGGATTGGGTATCTCAACCTGATGAGGATAAGCGAGAACAAGCACACTTTGAGGATTGCATTGGACTAGGTCACTCTCTTTAGGGCAAGACCAGCGAGCAAATTGTGAAGATTAAATATGACAAGCAAAACTACCTCGGCCTTCATGTGGTGACCTACATATGAAACACACCGCTCGAATTTCAAGACATACAATGTGCAATGGCCCCCTACAAGTTTGTGTATGTCTACCTTTGCCTAGTCTTCATTAATAAGCTCGAAATAACAGAATTATGGTCTTAACACATGCATTGACCACTGCATTTGTGTAATGGTTTTGGTCTGAGGATGGAACGATGCTGGTCCTTGACCTAGCCGATTACCTGACGAACAACTATGAAAAATTCTTGGCACTTATACAAGAGTAGTTGACGTATGCATGCATATACATGAATATTTCTGTATTTGCGATGATAGTTTGGAAACGACTTTGGTAGATTATTCTAGCTCGTCAGTGCATACATGTGGTACAAGTTCATGGGTGGACAATACAATTTAAATGAAAAAGAAACCGATGGGTGTAAATACCAATTGGCTGGTAAATTTTAAATAAATGCCCTACATTTGTAATATATATGTATGTAGCAACTAATTAGCCCCTTGTTTCGTCGTATAGTGCCACAAGCATTCACCAGGAACTGTCCTATGAGGGTACCACTGAGGATGAAAACGGAACGGAAATATCCCGAACCGAACCACATCATTTTCTAAATTTAATCCGATCGAATCCGTATTTTCTTGTCCGACTTTACCGTTTTCGCTTTCGCATTTCAGATGTTTCGTATTTCAAATGTAAAAGTAGAAAACGGTTTAGACATTTTTCGGCCGTTTTCTACTTTTCTACTTTTAATTTGAAATATTCCGAATTCAAAATGAATTTGGCCAACTGCACAGGTCATACAGCCCAATTACAGGCTGCTCACCACGCAGTTGCGTTCTTTCTACTGGTGGCCAGCTGCCCTCTCTTATAGA